AGTGCCGGACACCATCGATGGTGTAGATACAGCGACGCTGTTTGTCGATCGTGTCATTTGACAATTTGGAGTCCCGGAGGCAATTGTTCCTGACAGCGACCCGCGCTTCACTGATATGTTTTGGTCTACAATCTTCGACGAGCTGAGCACCAAATTGAGCGGACCGTCCGCAGATCAATGGTCAAACTGAGTGCGCACTCGCGTCGTTGAAGGCGTCCTTTGCAGCGTGTGTGATGAGACGCCGAAGCGCTGGAGCGCTATGCTGCCACTTTTAGAATGCGCTTTGAACAATGCAGTGCATTTATCTAACAGCTACATGCCGCTCTACGCATATGTTCTAGTTAATCCTCGCGTTTCGCTGACTCCACCATTCTATGGTTCATGGCTTGGTGGGGGAGGAATAGCCGAACGGCTTGCTGACGTCAGCCCCCTCACTGTGCGTAAAGAGGTCGGAGACGTCCTGTCAAGTAGACTGAGTGGCTTACGACACGTTCGCGATGAGAAGGCTGAAAGCCAAGACAAGCAGAAAGAATATGCAGACGGAAGAAGCAGAAGAAGCATGGAAAACTTTGAGGTCGGAGACCTGGTTTTGTTAAATGCCACAAACCTTCCTACACATGTAATCTCTGCTATCTTTATGACGAAGATCCGTCCGCGGTTTATAGAACTTTTTATAGTCGCGGCCAAGCGGGGCCTTGCGTATACGCTAAACCTTTCGAAACGGATATGCAGCCACCCAGTGTTATATGTGGTCTTGCTTATGCTGTAAGGGATCTGAAACAATTGAACGCGGAAACGTTGGTGCTGAAGCGGTGCCTTAAGGCACCTGGTCACCCAGGAGGTAAATCAGCAACTGGTTCTGAGCACGGAGTGCAACAATTTCCGTTTTCAACGGAACAAGGCGCTCACTGTCGCTCGAGGTGAAGTATTCGTATGCTCGACGGCTAAGGGCCGCTCCGACAGAGCGCGATAATCCTCAACGTTTGGCAGTCGGTGCAAAGTGCTCCGAGCTCTCGAGGGTTTCCGCACAGCGGTAGGCGGCCTCGGAAAGATGTTCGGCGGAATCCTGATGAAGACAAACTTTGTCCTTCAAAGCTCGAAGAGCGATAGGCATTGGACGGCGATCGACCACATCGTCATCGTCCGCCGCCGACTCTTCGCGATGTGAGTGGTTGCGTCCACTATCACGAGGAACGCCTTTTGGCGACAGGGTCGAATCCAATATCTCGTGATTTGGCGGAGATGCCCAAACTCCGAGAGCTCGTGGGAGTTTTAGGGGCCCATTCGGCAATACTGCCTTGACGTCGTTGACGCTTATGATCAGTAGGATCATGACGCTCGCGTCGGCGTGCACCCGCGCTTCTCGGCAGTAGCCGGGAAGCCGGATGAGCTGAAGCTATGGTCCTGATCTGCTGTGGTCGTAGACATACCCGCGTGAGAAACCACAGAGCTCGCAAGAGTGTGATGACTGATTCTATGTGTCGCAAGACAACAAAACGCAAGAAGACGGCGTTGCGCCTTGAGTTTGGAAAACTCAAATCGAAGGTGGCCTCGCTGTATGTTAGACAGCGAGGACAGATTCGGTGCCGCTGCACCCATCGCTCAAAGAGCTCTTCATATTCAGTAGCGGCTTTGCCAAGGGTGAGCACAACAAAAATCGTCGGCATCGCGGGCACAGAAGAGCCTCCTCTTTGAGCTCGAAGTCGGGTGCGGTACCAATCCTTTGGGATTTATTGGGTACCAAGTAGCAAGCTCAGAAAACTTTGCGCTGGTCAAGCTCAGCTTGTGGAGTGGCCGGGGGTCCGACTACGTAGGCGCTTAACGATCGAGTGATCGCGTCTTTCCTTTCAGTAGCGGGATCTGCCGAGCGGAAGCCGTATTCCACACACAAAGGTCTAGAACCGAACATGGATATGAGCGCATGAGAGCCGTCTTGTGGGCGACATCCAACTGCTGCTCCAATGCCTCGTCGAGGCGATTGGTAACGGTACCACTTCCTCGGAAGTCGAGAGTTAAAGGAACGGACATGGTGTCCGCAAGGTTCGAGCTGGGCTCACTTCGCGCCGTTGGCGCACATCCTCCTCCTCGTCTTCCCATGATAAGAAAGGAGTATCCGACTCGTGGTTGACTTCCTCTGAATCCTCGACGAAAAAATAGGCCGCTCGGGGCGGGCGCGGTAGGTGGCGCTCAGTTCTCAAGGGAGTGAGATGTGCTTTTCGTGAAGCAGCTGACGCACTGTCCGGAGATGCAACACATGTAGAGAAATAAGAAGGACTTTGCCCGCGGGCGCCCTCGGAGCCAGCTAGGTTGGGTGCTTTTCGTGTCACAGAAACAAGGCGCATTGAGCGGAGAATGTTGAAGAATGTTCTTAGGGACGTAATAGTATCTTAGACACGCGAGTCTCGTATGAGGCGACAGTTAAATGTGAATCGTGGGTATTCACAATTTTGATGGGGGTAGTATAACGAGGTTACACGTACAATTTTATGAAAAGGTAGGTCACACAAGATGGTGTGACCGTACCGAGTGTGGATAACACAAGTTAGTGTATTCGCACAATGTGGCTACACCGTAACAAGGAGTACTATGTGGCAGGACTGCCAGTAGTAAGGCATATTACTATATTAGTTAGGTTATACTATATGTGCCGCTACAAAACGATTGGATTCAGCTTCAATTTTGAAGGAAAGAACGTCTTTACCTTGGTTAAGGTTTTATGTTTTCTAATAGGTAGCGGATTGCGATCCGCTACGCTCGTACTGTTTCTTATAAAGGACGTAAGGTCGGTGACAATAGCTTAGCTTCTTTTGAGCAAGGAGTAACGGCAGCCCCGCTGCGGAAACCGCTGTGCGGAAGCCCTCGATAGCTCGAAGCACTTTGCACCGACTGTTAAACGTTGCGGACTATCGCTCTCTTTTGTAGCGGCTCCTAGCCGTCGAGCAGACGAATGCGTAACGTTATGCGACGGTGGAGGGCCTGACACCATTGAAGATCGTTGCACTAGTGCTCTAAACCAGTTGCTTGTTCAGCGTCGGGGCAGTCGAGCACATTTAGGCGCCGCCACGGCACCAATGTTTCAGCGTTTACTTGCACCGAATTTCGGTACGGCTCAAACAAGC